AGTAGGTTAAAAAATAAACAGTTTTTAAAGGTCCTTTTTGCACACCTTTTGGCGTAGTGGGAATATAGTGCAAGATGTGTGTTTTTATAGACCAATCGACACTTGGTGGGTGATCTACCAAGTCCAAGTCTTCTGTTTTTATTTCTTCCCCCAAACCGCAGTAGCGCTTTATAAGACTAAAAAATTTCAGCTTCCGAGACAAGCTGTTAATCAGCCAATACTCCTTGATGTGAGTATTTCTTCTCTTTTATTTTGTTCATTATATTCTGATAATCTTTCTATAGCATTTCAGCTAAAATGCCACTGTTTTCTTTCTCTTCTAAAATTAAGTAATAATTATTAATGTCTATAATGGGAAGAAATTACCAGAAGCTGCACCGTAATGCCGAGAATAAATTTGTAGTGTGTCTTGTCTACAGTTAGTGAGATACGGGAAGCGTTTAATGCAGCCCACGCGCAAGAGATGCTCGTGGATAAATACAGACACAGAAACAGGAAGAGACGAAAGCACCGCTCACATCACAGTATGTCAAACCACAACTTTCATTCACAAAATCCTATGGAGGGAAAATTCCTGGGTTTGCTCGATCCTAATACAGTCACAGAACATCCAATGGATCCAGAAGGTACTGTGTTATTCCCCTATTTATAATATGTGATTAGGTTTTTTTTTTTTTTTGGGAGGGGGGGGGGGGGCGCCGGAACCCTGTGGCTTAGGTGTCTTGACCCCCCCCCCCCCCCAAAAAAAAAAAAAAAAAAAAAAACACCGCAAAGGTAGTGTTGGTGGGGTCAAGTGGGAGCGGGAGGGGTGTTTAGACCTATGACATTTGTTATGATGCCAAGTTTTTGCTCTAATATTTTGAGGTGTTTTATAACTAATTTCAAACATGTTGATTTTATGTGTGTGTGTATATATATATATATATATATATATATATATATATATATATATATATATATATATATATATATATACAATCGTGTGCGCTGATATAATTATTGTTTTTTTAAATAACTGTTAGTTCATGTGAGCCTCTTCTCATTTAGTTAGTTAGTTAGTTAGTTAATCTACATATTTTGGTTAGTTAGTTAGTTCGTTCGCTCGTTAGTTAGTTAGTTAATCTACATATTTTCTCACCGCACATTGGACAAGTCCATAAACCCTCGGATCCCTTGTTCAGTAAATCCCTCAGCGTGTGGCGACTGATAACACCAGCTCTGTATTGATTTACTATTCTTCTTTGGCTACCTGTATAGTGTTCATGTTTAACAACACCTCTTTTGACCTGTAGTTCTTGTAGTCTGTTGAGTTTGCCGATTCAGTGTCGTCTCATAAATCCTTATCTCAATAATCTGTAATGGGAGCTACGCACAAATCTCCTCAGTTGTCTTTTTGTGTGTCATCGGCATCTGCTATTATAAGGCATATTATTCTACATTTATACTGTTACGTATCATCAGAATGTAGCACGACTGATGCGGATAATGGAAAACTCTCTGTTATAAAGTAACTGTTCTTTTTACCTTCTATTGTCCTTATATCGGCGTCTGTGGCTTGGGTGTTGCGAACGCGCTTCGTAATGCCGGGGTGCCGGGTTTGATCCCAGCTGCTGGCCTTGCGCCTTGCGTTGGTTTCGACAGTTGTATCGAGAAGCTGACCGTCCACAAAGTAATGGCAAACTACTGGACGTAAACTTGCCTATATAAACCACAACAGCCAAAAAATGCTGAGGTTGGTTCTGCAACGTCCTGTAAAAGATACTTAACGAACTTATTGTGACTGAAATACATTTATCTAAACGTGATACGTCATGCACCCAGCTTCAGAAAAACAAAATAACCACTTTACTTGTTTTTCCCCCTCTAAGTAAACAGATATTTTAAAATACATTTAATATACACACAGCATACCCGTCAATTGTTCTATTAAAACAATAGTACTGCTTTACACACTAATAATTTGCCATAAGGAGTTAAATCTGCAATTATCTTTGATAACAGCACTAACTTAACGTAATCAGCGTCCAATTTAACAAGTTTTCACATGCATATCTGTTATATATAAATAGACACAAACACAGATGAATAAACATTGAACCACATAAACAGAAATTTTGACCTGTTTCTGTTTATTTCACAGAGATCATTTCACGAATCAAACAAGGAGGGACGTTCCCGTTCCGGCCGTACATTCCAGAATACATTGACCACAAAACCAAAAATGTCATCATGGAGTGTTGGCGGGAACAGCCTGAGGAGAGACCTTCTATTGACCACGTAGCCTCGCTTATCCGTCACATCAGCTCACAGTTCAGTGGGTAGGTTAATAAACTGCCAGTTACTCCCTCTAAATACAAGTTTTTCTTTCCAATATAACGATTTCTCCCAGGTCGACACAACCTTTAAGGAGCACCAGGTAAAGTCATGGAAAGTAAAGGTGGTCGGCTCGATGTTGACCACATCACCCATCAAGTGCCGGTTGGTCTATAAAATATTGGTCTAGCCCTGTGTGCCCAGTACGCCTGAAGATGTGGCAAGAGGACTTTACATACACAATTTGGCAGACTAGATGGATCTCGAATAAGAAATCATCTAGTCAAACGCATCTGGTTGCAAGAAATGGAAAGAGCTGAACAGTAATTTGGTTATCGGACAACATGCAGTTTAATGTGACAGTAGATGGCGTGATATACCACCTATCAATGCGATGTTTGAACAAGGCAAACAGTTTTATTTGTTAAAGATATTACCTTATTGATAAAAAACATGTTTTTGGCCAACTTTATGCTACCAGTGTCAGACTGGTACCTTTTTTTAACCTGTTGAGGGCAATATCTTATTGATATAAATTAGACGTCTTAGAAAATCTGCCGGTATTACAAGAAGATACATAATTAAAAGTGGAGCAAGACTAGGTCTGAAACCAGCCATATAATTCTTTGTTTCAAGAGTAGCAGATGAGATGGTTTGGACATCTGTGGAGAGTGTCCTGGTACATCTGCCACAGGGAGTCAGGCTAAAGAAATGTAATAGAGCAAAGGGAAGACCACGCAGAATGTGGAATAATGGAAATAAAAACAGTCTTTGAAAATGAAGGCCAGCTTCACTTTCGAAAATGTAGCTCTGCTGCACTTGGTCTGGCCAGAAGGGCCTGTATTGGTCCCCGACACATGGGTGTAAAAAAAAAAGAACCGGAGGAAAAAAAATGAACAAGAAGCTTGTATCGTTTCAGCGAAGATATTTACATTAGTGCACTGGTTTTAGTTTTGTGTGTAGCACTGACTCTTCCATTAGCGTGCGTTCCTATGTATAGTCTTTATTATGTCTTACGCATCTATTATGACTTTACCTAATGTTGCATATTTTGTATTTAAAATATCGCTGGCTCATTGCTTCTCACTTTTGCATGTCCCGTGCAGTGTACCATTAAGTCCCTGTAATGTTGAATATACGATGGAAAGATAATGTCCAGACAGACCTGCCAACAATTGGTGTCACCCATAGGAAAGAGAAGGTGGGGGGCAGGTGATATCTGCAGCAGTGAACCTCAAAGGCTCTGAATGATGATGATGATGAAGAAAGAAGAAAAGGAAAAGAAGAAGAAGAAGAAGAAGAAGAAGAAGAAGAAGAAGAAGAAGAAGAAGAAGAAGAAGAAGAAGAAAGAAGAGGAAGAAGAAGAAGAAGAAGAAGAAGAAGAAGAAGAAGAAGAAGAAGAAGAAGAAGAAGAAGAAGAAGAAGAAGAAGAAGAAGAAGAAGAGAAGAAGAAGAAGAAGAAGAAGAAGAAGAAGAAGAAGAAGAAGAAGAAGAAGAAGAAGAAGAAGAAGAAGAAGAAGAAGAAGAAGAAGAAGAAGAAGAAGAAGAAGAAGAAGAAGAAGAAGAAAAAGAAGAAGAAGAAGAAAAAAGAAAGAAGAAGAAGAAGAGAAGAAGAAGAAGAAGAAGAAGAAGAAGAAGAAGAAGAAGAAGAAGAAGAAGAAGAAGAAGAAGAAGAAGAAGAAGAAGAAAAAGAAGAAGAAAAAGAGGCCATTTTGTTCTACTACAAATTGTTTTTAATTTTTCTTTTACACGAATCAAAACAGTCCAAACCACTCTTAACTTTAAAGCGCAGCTTTTAAAAGCAAACAAACTGTATAGCAAAGTAATCGTAAAAAAGGACCGTTTTCCACGGCTTCATGAGTATTAGTTATATAGGACTAGACCTATATTTTATAGACCAAACGGGGCTTGATGGCTAATGTGGTAATCATCACGCCGGCCGCCTTCACTTCCCAGGACTGTACTTTGTACTCACTCAAGGCTGGGTGGACAAGGGAGCTAAGGACATATTTGAAAAAAGCCTGGCCCCTGTCGGAACCCGAACCCATGACCTTACTGATTCGCAGGGAAGCGTCTAGCCGCTAGACCACGACGGCCTTCAAACATAGCACACTTGTAGATCAAAACTGTGCAAACCAATGTGTTTAAAAACCCATGTAAGTTAAAATACGTCACCTAAGTCAATAGATTTAAATGTGAAATAAATAATATCAATAACTTAATAATGTAGCTTTTAGACCTAGTGTAACATTGGCGCAGAGACAAATGTTTTTTACATATTTACTTGGTGAGTACATATGGCTAAAGAAAAAAGGTATTAGACGTGATATATACAAGTTAGTTACCTATTATTTACAGGACGTTGCAGAACCAACCATAGCATTTTCTGGCTGTTGCTGTTTCTGTAGGCAAATTTTACGTTCAGTAGTTTGCCATTGCTTACTAAACTGACAGCTATCGGTACCACTGTCGAAGCCAACGCAAGAAAAATCTTCAGTAGCTGGGATCGAACCCGGCACCTAAGTATCACGAAGCGCGTTCGCAACGCCTAAGCCACACGTGATATAAAGCCAAATTAAATATTTATATACATTTACACACACACTTCACGGAGTCTAAAATATTATTTATTTTTTCATGTGTCTGTAATAATTGATGCCAGTAAAGACAAAAGCTTGATGGAGCAGATGCTTGATAAAGTCACAAGGGAGGCAGATTTACAAGCGCAGGAGTTGGAGGAGGAGAAGAATAAATCTGATCAACTTCTCTATCAGATGTTGCCTCCGTAAGTATGAAACAGTTTATGTACGCTACCACTGTACCAGTGTGATTCAATACATGGGAAGTAACATTTACGTGAGTGTCGATTTACAGACAATGTTTTCACTCAGGGTATATCTTGTATAAATCTCTGTGTGTTTGTGTGTGTGTGTGTGTGTGTGTTTGTGTGTGTGTATGTGTGTACGCAAGCGCGCGCGTGCGTATGTGTGAACAAAATGCATATACTGGTCAAAAGAAAAAAAGAAAGAAAGAAAAAAGGAAAGAAAGAAAGAAAAAAAAGAAAGAAAGAAAGAAAGAAAGAAAGAAAGAAAGAAAGAAAGAAAGAAAGAAAGAAAGAAAGAAAGAAAGAAAGAAAGAAAGAAAGAAAGAAAGAAAGAAAGAAAGAAAGAAAGAAAGAAAGAAAGAAAGAAAGAAAGAAAGAAAGAAAGAAAGAAGAAAGAAAGAAAGAAAGAAAGAAAGAAAAAAGAAAGAAAGAAAGAAAGAAAGAAAGAAAGAAAGAAAGAAAGAAAGAAAGAAAGAAAGAAAGAAAGAAAGAAAGAAAGAAAGAAAGAAAGAAAGAAAGAAAGAAAGAAAGAAAGAAAGAAAGAATAAATTAATGGAAGAAATACTTAGTTATCTGATGGCGCTTAAAAAAAAAAAAAAGATAAACGTATATCTAATAAAAGAAACCTAACTTTTGTCACAATTTTGCCATTCAAAATGTGTGTTATTTATAAAGTTACATTTTTCATATTACACGTAAAATACTGTAGGGTTCAACTAATCAATTGACAAATTCTTCCCAATCTGGGTCATCAAAAGATTTAAGTGTACAGGCTTTCTGGTCAACTAATCAAAACGTGTCGTCGGATTACAATTTTTTTCAACAAGACAGCGCCCTCAGATAATTATACGGTTTTTTAAAAACAGTATAGTTTATGTGAGTTGTATAGTGTATTCCCCATGACAGACTAGTAATGCAGACTCACAATATGTCTGCCAAAGATCAAAGTAAAGCTTCTAGTTTGCTTTGCAGCAGCTTCATAGCAAGCTTTACAAATTCTCTATTTTACTGTAGCTGTTCCTTTTAAGGTAGCATTTTAGAAGATGAAAAGTATTTAAGTAATAAATCACTCTCATTAAACTCCAGAAAATAAGTACCGAAATGTTATATCGAGCCAGTTCTGTTGTATGGTATTGAATTTTGGAATGTGAGTGAGCAAATTAAAAAAGAGTTCGTGGGGAACTAGTATGTGGTTTTCGAGAACAATGTTGCGAATACCTTGGACTGCCGGATTAACTAACAATAATTGCCTGAAATAGCTCATGAAAGAAGGAAAAATAATGTTTTTTGGTCATTTTATGAGAAAAAGAGCCTGGAAAATATCGTGACGACTGGAAAGATCACTTGTAGAAGAGGCAGAGGGAGACCAAAAGGAAAGATGGTAAATGGCTTAAGACCGTGGCATGGAAGAATATCATCAGTGGAAATTGACCCAGAACACCAAAGACCGAGTTCTGTAGAGATCCATGAACGCCAACACCAGTTTGCTAAGGCACTTGATGATAGCGATGATTAATTACTTCTATTCCTTTACTATTTATGATGCTTATTTCGGTGCTTATGAATTTCTACTTCACGACTAAATTTTGCCATGCTCTAAATAAATCCAGTGAAGAGTCTTTTATCTCAACCGAATATCGCCTTGGCCTCCATTTATTGCTGCCTCCTCTAATTCCTTGCATGCCCTCCCTAAATTATTCTTTTGTTTTTATTGTGTGTCTATGATTGTGTTTGTTTTTTTCCAACCCTTTAAATTTCCCCGCTGGTTCCAAAGATAAGATTGTCTAACTGTAGCCTTTATTAAAGTTTTTCTTATCCACCGCCAATGAATCACACATCTTTGGAAATCTAGAGGGGCCTGCGTGGTCTCAAGGCATGGTGTTCGCTTAGAGTTCAATCCCCTGTAAGGACTGGGATGTTTTTATGTGGACTTGTAATTCTAGTAATTCCCTATGGTCTCTTGGTAGTGAGATCGGACGCCCGTGTGCATTGTTGCGCACGTTAAAAAATCCCTTGGCAGTTGGAAATCGAATAGAGTAGCGCTAACGGTGCAGCCCAGGCAAAAGTTTGAAGTTAAAAATCTATCCAAAGCATTTCAGGATCCTCGCTTGTGCTACAGAGCCTGTGAACTGTGCTGAGATTCTTCGGACTTGAGTTAGAAGAAAAACGGAGCACTTATGGGTTGCTGCCCGTGTGCTACGATGTTGATCCGCTGCTCAAAACCTCAAAACCTAAAGCAGGGAAATCTAGATTCAATTAGTTAACTGCCTTCTATAATTCCAGCAAACAACTGTAGTCCTCACAGTGACCTAAGCTCACAGTTCTGCTTAGCCTATAGTGGATAGAAACAGTATCAGACAATCAATCAGGTGTCACCTCCACTTTGAAGATTGGCTGCAATGGATCTCCAACACGCGATGTCTCTTGTACTCGTTTTACTTTTCACCTAAATTAACATTCTTGTTAATATGTCCACCTCTTCCATAACCAGGACTGTAGCTGACTGCCTGAAGAAGCAGATCGAGGTGAAGCCAGAGACATTCCAGTCTGCGACCGTTTACTTCAGTGATATCCAGGGATTTACTGAGTTGTCCAGTGTCAGTGAGCCCATTGAGGTGACTATCGGTTGTAGAGAGCTAATGTGATAGATCGATGAATGGATGGATGAATAGTTACACCGATATACAGACAAATGAACGTACATTTGTTTTAACAGAAGATCTACAATGAAATAGGCAGCACAGGAGAATGGAGAAGCGAACAGTTACAAAATAGATGCATTTTCTTCTACTTCGTATTCGCCGTTTGTCAACTCCGAGGAAATATTTTTTTTTCTGCTCGTCCTATTTTATACTCTGGTCTTAATATAGAAGTAGGGTTTTCCGTGAACATCAGTTTGTCAGTCTAGATTTTTTGTAGGCAGACTATTGATTCCTTAACACCAATGCTAATGCAATCGGACTTAAAAGGAAACGTCCATAATTAGTCATTTTTTGGTGTGTCTTTCAATCCAACCAGGCCCAACACCCGACGACACAAAGTGCCACCATTTGGATAAGGATTATCTGGGCACATTTCTCAGAAACCCCGTTCAACCGGCATGGGGCTTTAAAATAATGATCACCTGCGTCCCACATTAGGAGGGTAGAATTACTGGCAAGAAATGATTGCTTGCGACAGAAGCAGTGACCTGTAGAGTATACACAGCTGGTTGTAAGAATAAAAGCAGTATTCTGTTTGTTTAAACACATTTACTTTTCAAATGTTGCGAATGTTAGGATAAATAATTTGACATTTTTTTTCCCACTAACGTGGCTTTTATATAAGTATTGCGTTCCTATATTCATTTTAATTTCTTTCTTTTAAATAGTTTTTACAAATCATAAATTGTTTTATTTCCTGCTTTACTATATACATGTATATTGTTCTGAGGTAGTTTAGGGTCGAGGAATCTACAACAAAAAGTTTTTAATATCCTTTTTTTTTCATGTTCACAGATTGTCAACTTTCTCAATGATGTTTACTATAAGTTCGATAACATTATTGAAAAATACAAGGTATATAAGGTAATATTGTCTATAGTTCCATTTATTACTATAAGTAGAAAATAATTTTTATTTGGGGAAGCCGTTATATTTTCTGTAACTTGTCACACCAAGTTCAAACCATAATAATGTTACTGCATTTTCAAGGTCGTTATTATTCAGTTCATCATTGTCTTTACGCAACATTCATGACAACCTTTCTCTTTGTAGAAAACTTTACTCTTATCGTCAAACGAAAGGAGCTTTTCCACTCCATCAGATGTACTTGGCATTTAGTGCTCGTCTAAAAACTAAAAAACTAATCCGAACTCGGTGGGTGATGTGGTCAACATCATACCGGCCGCTTCTACTTCCCATGGCTTCACTTGCTACCCACTTAAGGTTGAGTCGACCTGAACTCAATGTCATTTTGTTTTTAAGATAAACATGTTCTCCTCATTTAGGATTCAAACCCACCAATTTCGGATCCGCAGACGAGTTTCTAGCCGTTATACCAAGGTTGCTTACCTTAATTGTATCATCATTGTATTATATTGTTGTCTTCCACTGTTTTACTTCTTCCAGTACCTAAGTTGACAGGGAGAAGGAGAGAGGGGTGCAGGTGAGAAGAAAAGATTTGCTGTGTGTTATTTCTAATTATGTGTTATTAAGTCGGCTTTCATTGTCCTAAGCTTGTTCCTGAAGCCTTCATTCGATAATCTGCGAAGTCTACAACGACTGTCCATCGTGGATTTCTGCGGTAGTTGCTACCATGATACTGTGAGATGACCAGCCTGGTTTCTATGCTGCCTTAATAACTTATACAAATGTTTAGCCCTATTGTCTTCTAATTTGTGTCACTGAAAATTATCTTTCGAATATACGAAACAATTAAAGATTGTTATTGTTTTATCTAAATGCATTGTAACTGTGCTCTACTTTGTGTTGTATTGCACTTTTGATGTTTAAAATACTTGCAACTTTTTTTTTTTTTTTACTTGTGAGACATTGAATCTATGGTTAAGATAACCAAAAGGCAGATATAGTAGTTGGCATGAAGTTGTGTGCCTTTAAATGTTAGATATAAGGGTCCTTCTCTTTCTGGAAACTGAAGTTCCTTAAATTATTAAATATGTCTGGTACCCATAGTTCCGAAGGGCTGGGACCACCCATAGTTCCGTAGGACTGGGACGACCCTAGGGCCTTAGGTGCCGTACAGAATGGTGTCTACCGTGCTGGGTATTGAACCGGAACCATTGTGTTGGCTGAAAAGTAAATCAACCACTCTACTTTAGCTGTTGCTGTTAATACATTATTGTTCAGTATGGAAACAAACAGGTAGATAGACTGGCTGGCTCTGCATCACTTGGTGGTGAGTTGATGTATGACAAGTTAGATATGGTAAGGGCCGTTTGAGAGCGAGCAAACAGTGCGGAGGCACAGATAGATCATTATGGTCTCAGACAAATGGCGCTGAGAAGAGTTACCAGGGGATCTGGTCGACGCTCAACACTTAGGGGAAGGATGAGACGGATATAAAATCAGACGGTTGCTGGTACCATCGGAATTGGAACTGTTCGCTTGCTGCTGAAGATGGGGACTGAACTCTTATGGAATTGTGTCCCGAGTGTTGATTCCTAATTCAACATTCAACATTGTTCTGTTAATGCTAACATTTCAGTACAAACGAAAAAAGTATTTAAATATCTAAAACTCCCGATCGCAAGGTGTACAGTGTAGCTAGAGAAGATAAAAATTGTATGTATTTCAGAATAACGTTTGTGGCTTAGGCGTTGCGAGTCCGACTCGTAATTCCAACGTTCCGCTATCGAAACCCACTGCTGGCTGTGTGGATTTTTATCGTGGTGTGGGGCGTCCCTGTCGACCCAGCTTAAAATGGGTACCAGGATGGCTGTCCTGGGAAAGTAGAGACGGCCGACGTAATGCTGACCACATTACCCACCTAGTGCCGATGGTCTGAAAAAATGTGGGCGCTCTTCCCATATACCCGATGCGGCTAAAGCCGTGACAAGGAAGGGATCTTTACTATACTTACTTTTTACTTGAGAATAAAGGATTCATTTAGGCTTCATCATCTATGAATGTAAACTTTGCTTCAATGCCCCTCCAGAGATACAGCAAAATATACCAGGAAATAAATTGTGCAATGTATTGATTGTGTCAGCGATATTTAAATTCACCACGAGAAAGCACTGTTTTGAAGTTTTTCTCAGTTGTTTAAAAAATTATATTTTGTGGCATATTATGAATTGATCAATATGTTTAATAAGCTCCGCTCACACATAACTTTAATTTTATGTTAAGAGTGTTTAGTGCACGTTTAACGCTCCATAAACTCTATTGTATGATGCTTTATACCATGTCTTTTTATGAAGGTTGAAACAATTGGGGATGCCTATGTTGTGTGCAGTGGTGTGCCAGTAAAAGTAGACAATCATGCCAGCGAAATTGCGAAAATGGCACTTCATATCATGAGCTGCTCTTCTGACCTGAAAGTCTTTCACAGACCTGAGCATAAGTTTCACATGAGAATAGGCATGCACAGTGGTAGGTAATCAAACAAGGTTCTCAATTTTCTCAGTATTATCCCCCTCCCACCCCCACGGAAACGAGATTTCTGAGAAGGGCTGCAGGATTGACTTGAAGATATACAATCATAATGATGTCATAAGAGAAAAGGTTGGCACAGAAACAGTTCTAAGTTACACACTAATGAAGCAAATCAAAGGATTTTCTCAGTCAATGAGAATTCTGTCTTGTCGCCTGTAGTGATGTTCTTTGCATTATTGTTGTCCCAGGCTCGTCATTGTGGGTCCGCTCGCTAGTTATGTATACCACTTGCCGTCTTCCAACAAAGTATCGGCTTGTCTATGGTTCCCATTTCGGGTTGGCATTATGCTTTTTAACTTATCTACACTAAACTACTGTCAAAAATAGGTACAACTCTTCGACACAACACAGGCTAATGTTCTTTATAACTCCTGCCAGCTTTACGGTAGCTCACAATCATTCCTCCATCAATACAATTTCTCACAGACAACTTTTCTGGGCAACCACAGCTCAGACCATCTAACAACTCATTTAAGCTGTATGTCACAACTTTCAATACAATAACTATCTTCCTTGACCTCTGGTGCTCAACCGACCTCAAGCCAAACTCGGTCTTTCCCTCGTTTTCCTTTCCAGCCCCAAGTATCACGTGCCGTCGTTTATCGCGTGTGTTTTCTGCTTGACTTGCTGTAAGCGTAGGCCACCACGCAAAGCAGTTCATCACGGCACCATTCCATACAAGACATACACTTTAGGAACGAGAGAGACGTAGATCACAAAGTAGACCAAGAACAAGAAGGAAATATAACATAAGACAAACTCTAGAACAGCACAACATGTCTATATATGGTCTAGGCGGCGGCTAGCAAAGCAAGAAGCAGAATCCTGTTTCTATCTAGACACACAAAGCAAGAAGCAGAATCCTGTATCTATCTAGACACACAAAGCAAGAAAGGATGTGAGGAAAAATAATAATACGCACTCTCTCTCTCTCTCTCTCTCTCTCTCTCTCTCTCTCTCTCTCTCTCTCTCTCTCTCTCTCTCTCTCTAGCCCTCTCTTTCTCATCCTCGTGCGTCCGTGTCTATCTCTCTGTATAGATATTCCGTGGACAGTTAGAACAAGACCATCTGCATCTGACGTTCCATGCTGCTGACGTCACCAAACCAGGCTAACAAAACGTTAACGTATCGTTACCTCGGATTGGTGACCAGGCCTGTTTTCTTGCTTAATTTACCCCCTCAGACCCCTCCTCCACAGTCATGTGGCCAAGTCATCTAGATGTGTGTTTGTTGGTCTTCCTCTTTCTCTCTCTCTCTTTTTTAAATCAAGAATTTTCAGTTCTGGAGTAACTTTCTTTTTACATCCTGTCTAAAAATCTGTAGTGTTCATGTTTAATTGATCTCATCGTTATACCGTCAGCGTCTGTTGCATAGGCGTTGCGAGCCAGCGTTCGTAATTCCGTGTTACCAAATTCGATCCTATCTGTGGGTGATTTGACAGCAGACTGCCTTTGGCTAATTTTAACAGTGGTAAAGCTGACTGTGCAGTTAGCAGTTTCCAACTAGTGAATTTAAAATTGCCTAGTGAAATCACAAACACGAAAAAATGCCGGGATTGGTGCGTACAATTTGCATCCCGCCGATGGATACTTTTATCATTTTGAATCTTTAAGTAACCTCTGTTAAAAAAAAAAAAGGTAAGATGAGATCCTTTACAGGACATTGCAGTATCAAAATAAACGGTTTCAAGATAGCTTTCCCATTTCCCATGTTTCTAAATTTTCCAGTTTACATGGATGTTATATCAGCGTCTGTGGTTTAGGAATCACAAACACAGTTTGTTAATTCCAAGAAAGCCGATCTGATTCAGCTACAGACGGTTTGACAACATGCAGCCTTGTAATGATTGCAACAGTGGTATGGCAGTGATAACACAGTCAAAGAAATAAAATCTGAAAAGCTGCAACAATAATAGAACTAGTAGACTTATTCTCCCCCCCCCCCCCACCCCCGCTACCTTTTTTTCCCGCAACAAAAAATAATTATATTGATACTGGCTAACAGACTAAAAGCAAAATATGAAGAAATACTAGCCGAAGAACAGTCGAGTTTCTGGAAACATAGAAGCGTCCCAGAACAAATCTTCAACATCAGAACAATGATAGAAAAACACATCAACGCGACCTATTCCGTAATTACATTGACATGGCGAAGGCATTTGACCGGGTGTGGCATGCTGGGATCAGGCAAATAATAAGAAATTTGTAACTTCAGTAAGAACATAATAAACACTGTTAAAGCACTTTATAAAGATGCAAGCAGCGCAATGCTCATATAAAACGACATAGGCATGTTTGTTTAATACCTTGGCTCCCAAATATGTAACGATGACATCTGTACCAAAAAACTTTGACCACCCAAGCGTAACTGTATGATGATGATGATGGTGGTGGTGGTAAAGATTAAGTGCTTTGGATCAGATCCACGATAGCAGTGTGCGAATGTCGGTTGACTAAAGGTCGACCAGTCAGTGAGTTAGCTAGTGTGTATATGCGTGTTTTGTGTGTGTGAGTGAAACAGATAGAGAGAGAGAGATAATTGTGCGTGTTTGAGAGAAGAAGGACGAGAAGAAATGTTTGTTTTCTTGACGGATTCAGATTATTACACACGTCTCCTTCTTCTCCGTGCCACAGGTCCAGTAGCAGCAGGTGTTGTAGGTCGAACAATGCCCAGGTACTGCTTGTTTGGGGATACAGTAAACACAGCCAGCAGAATGGAATCTACAAGTCTGGGTACTGTCAAATTTATCTGTGCTTTTAAAGGCAGCTGCTTTTATAGCTATGTTAATTTGCTTTTTGGTTAACTTGTTTATTTATTCCTTAGTTGATTTTATTTTTACCAGCTTGATTAGTTGTTGTTGTATTACTGTGTTGATTGGTTTATTGCCTGCTTCACTTCTTTATTGTCTGCTTGATTTATGTATTGACTTATTGATTTCGCTATTACTTGCTTGATTTAAATTTGCATTTTGTCAGCTTGATTTTTTTTCCACTCCTGTGCTGATATCTTTATGTAAGTTTTGATTTCTCAAATGCTATTATGATTTCTTTATTGATATCTAGATTTAGGCATGCCATGTCCATGATGTCTTAGTTGCTATCACGATTTCCTTATTTATATCTAGATTTAGGCAGGTCATGTTCCTGATGTCTTAGTTGCTATCATGATTTCTTTATTGATAGCTTGATATCTAGATTTAGGCAGGTTATGTTCATGATGTCTTAGTTGCTATCATGATTTCTTTATTGATATCTAGATTTAGGCAGGTCATGTTTATAATGTCTTAGTTGCTATCATGATTTCTTTATTGATATCTAGATTTAGGCAGGTCATGTTTATAATGTCTTAGTTGCTATCATGATTTCTTTATTGATATCTAGATTTAGGCAGGTCATGTTTGTAATGTCTTAGTTGCTATCATGATTTCTTTATTGATATCTAGATTTAGGCAGGTCATGTTTATAATGTCTAAGTTGCTATCATGATTTTTTTATTGATATCTTGATTTAGGTATGTCATGTTTATATATCATGTTTAACTGTTTATTGACGTTTTAATTTATTTATCGCTCACTAGTTTTCTCTTTCCCCACCACCCCCCCCCCCCCCCTTTCGTTTCCCCTTTTACGTTTTGTGTTATATATTGTTTCATTGAATCTTCATTTTAATTAACATAAACATTATAGCCTCAGTTTACCACTTTGGCAGTATATGACGGGGAGAGAAGGTCTTGAATCTGAGGATTTAGGGCCGCATAGCTGGTGCGTTTGCCCGAAATTCAGCAGGTTGTTATTTTGTTGTTGCCCTCTGATAGAAATAAAATCCATAATCTAACTGAGGATTCCATCCCGGGGTACATAAATAAGTTCCCAGTTTTCTTAACCACTATGCTAGCCACTCCTCTGGAGACTGCATCTTTTTCTTTGCGTTCACCACTTGTAAACTCTGGTGAAAGGTTCTGGTTGTTCGTCCAACTCCGCCATTTAGACTTGTTCCAGAATCTGAGTGTTGCATACATATTCGTTTTACATATTTTGCTTTTTTGAATACAGACTCTTGGTTTCCAGTCTCTCTAGTGATGCACGCCGACTTGGAAGGATGTTTCCAATTACTTTATTCCTACGAATGCTTTTGGGTTGGCAGTGTGTCTGTTCCTGTTTTGTCCACACTAGGGTGCAACGTGTGAAATAGATTCCGCAGGATGCCACAAAACCTTCTCTGCACTATAATGAATAACCAGCCTGTTTCACTAACATTTGGCACCACTAAAACCGTTTAAAAACGGCTTCCAGAGACGTTCATTTAAAGCAATATAAGTCGTATAATTCATCTACTGAAGGCGAGATCCCAAATCGCATCCACGAACGTTTGAAGAATGGTTTTATAATTTAACAGCGGCTGTTAGAAGTGTCTTATGCTAGGTACATAGTCATGATTTAGCTGTATGTCAGTTCTCAGTGGCTAACGCAGCGGACTGGCCGTTTGTCTACGACGATTACTCTAGACAACATTCATAGAGTTGATGAGGCCGTCGAGTTATCCTGTAGGATTTGCATTACATGCTGCCAGTTAGTCAAGGCAGTGTCCAGACCATCAGTTCATCCTATGTTACCAGCACGAATGATGCGATCTACTCGATGAATGTTGTTTGGATTTTCTACAGTACACGGACAGCTGATCCGCTTTGAGGCAGCCATTAAGGATTGTCCTACTTCAGCTTCGTTTCAACGATATACCCGGCGTGGGAGTGTGCTATCGTCCACTGTTGAATCTCCCAAAAAAATTTTCAGATGTTCATGGATGCGAATTGCGTTCTGTGACATTACACTAAGAAGGAACTCCACAGGGAAGCATGTACAGCAGGAGTCTACCAATCATCAGTAGAAGTAATCTCTCGTCGACAAATGTTTCGGCCCACGAGCTGCTAGACATTTTCAGAGTTCATGAGGCTCAGAGTTGATTTCCTTCTGCTGCACGTATTACCTTATGTTCTCGGACAGGGACAAGGCGAAATTGATGACTTTGCAAAAGGTACTGTGAGATACTGTATTTACATAGTCGCTGCGGTAGCATAATTAGAGCTGTCAGCATACCTGGACGACCAAGTGGCAAGCTTACGGTTTGTTTATCGGAATTTGTTGGCAAATGGCAGAGGGACACTGGCAGACACTTCGGACACGATGGACTTTAAGGAATAAGATTTTCTTCTCCACTAGACACCCGGAGGAGCTCACCGAGGCCCATCCCCAGCGACGTTTCGTTATGTCCAGAGCCATCTCGAAGACCTCTCAGCAACCTCGCCCAGTTGTTTTAGTGCTCGTTTACGCTCAGTTCCCCGCAAGCCTAGTTTTTTAATCACCTTGTACAATGAAGTGGAAACGAGACCTCTTGCGCCTACCTCGACGGCGAAGATTCTTACTGTGCACGCTTCGTCTCTCCTCAGACCAGCCGCTAAGTCACTGCACTTCTCGAGCTTGTACATGTGGCTTTCGTCCATTCGCGACTCATACGGCACGGTCAACTCAATCAGGATGAGCTGATGTTTCGAGTGTAGGACTATGTGGGTCATAGGCCAGTCTTCCGGGTTAACTCAGGGTACTTTTTGTGACCAGGCAGGTCAACCGCCAGTAACCCAGCCTTAAGGAATGGCACGGGGACGACGGTAGAACTGGCCCCTCGCATTGGCTCTCATCCTAGCTTGGTCCACAACGGCCGCTAACTCTTTCAGCACCTTGTTGTGGCGCCAAGTGTACCTGCCCTGAACCAGGGCTTTTCTGCACGCGGACAATACGTGCTCAAGCGTCTGTTTAGCTCTACATAGCAGGCAAATAGGGTCGGTAGTCGCACTCCACTTTACCATGTTAACATTGGACGGTAATACATATAGGCAGATCAAACGATAAAGCTCTGTCGCAGCGGGGCCATTCGCCAGATCTCACCCCATGTGAGTACTCGTGACTATTTTAACCGAACGTCTTTGGAAGCCATTAGAAAACCATTACAGTGATGACACCTGTTACTGAAACAAGTTGGTAATGCTTCACCTTGCAGAAGAGTGTTTGGGGAATTTTGCTAAATTTACAAAATTTATAAAGATTCAGTAGCTACCTATATATATATATATATATATATATTTTTTTAAAGGAGGCATTTCTTTGTGACCGTCTATCGTATGTGTGCTTTTATTTTCCGTTCTTTGAACTTCTAAGTTATACTTGGTGTTGTGTTTATATAATCATCTTTTTCTGTTTTCTATACAAATTCTTTATCATCCTCATTTACGCATCATCATCATTATCACCCAATCTCAAACTCCTACCTCTGCGCCTCGTGGAAAGAAACAGTTTGCAACGACGATTACACATAAACCCATACATGTCTTCCAACATACATTAGTTCACTATACATTGCTCAATATACAGCACTTTAGTTACTTTTATTGAACTACTTATATCGCCGATCATTACACTGTTTACTATATGTATCCCCCCACCGCCCCCCCCCCCCAAAAAAAAAAAATTGTGTCAAATGCTAACGCAAGAAATTAACTTCTTTTATCTAATCTTTATGCACACACACATACACAAACACACACACACACACACACACACACACACATGTATTTTTTGTTGTTGTCGTTGCTGTTGTTTGAAAAACAAATCGATTTTCTTTGGCTCGACAGCTGGTCGTATTCAGATTAGCCAGCAGTGTAAAGATCTGCTGGACAATGACGTTGGTTTCCATTATGAAGCAAGAGAACCGATTCATGTTAAGGTATGATGATTATCATTACTATATATTTCCATTCTAAATGTTTATCTATAGAAAACAGGTTGGAGTGTATTATAGTTATCCATATATATATCCCCCCCCCCCCCCCCCCCCCAAAAAAAAAAAACACTTAGAGAGGGCAACTGGAAAGTGAAGTTAGAAAGATGGGGAGGACTTGGGGTGTGCTGCATGCGATAGCAAAGAATAGAACGACTTGGCGTGAATTGCTGAGTGCTTATGCTCCATTGGGGGCTAGAAATGCAGAAGAAAATATATATGTTTTCTTGTAAAGGTACATTTTGGCATAATAGGAGAAGTCTGTTATAGTTAGATGACTACGGTAGCGTAGCTGATATTCGGTCACTGCCGACATGAATGTCCTGGTTCGAGTACCCATTTACGCAGACTTTTGTTTTTAAATTGACCCTGGCTCTAAAGTTGACTCAGGCTAACATAAATACAAGTGAAAAATACTAGCAAGTTAAGGAAGCAGGTGGATGTTGACCACATCAAGTGTTGATTGGTCTATTTAAATATGAGTCCATCGTCATACATCCGAAGCGTCACAAGTCGTTTGTGTGTGTGTGATATTGTGAAGCCACTGGTTCTACTACTCGTTTTCTTTGATATATTTTCATTTTTTTATATCTTCGCCAAGGATACAAAGTGCAGTCATTGGAAGCAAAGGCTAAGGCTGTGATGCTGGCCACATCACCACTAAGTGCCGACTGGTCTATAGGGTATAGGTTCAGCCCTATATGCCCAATACACATGACGGCGTGGACAAGTGTCCTTTACTATGTACTTTTTCTTTATATGCTGAATAAGCTTGAAGAGGCGAAAAAGGTTGTTTGGTTCATCTTACGTTTTTCACAACAAACAAATTGTAGTTGGCCTATAATATTTTTTAATATTTATACAGGGGTGTCACGTAGCGTTGTCTCCGATGCTCTCATCGGCGATGTCGCGTTTTCTTTATAACACTATGTGACTGCTTTAACAGAACACCTACTACTAGCCTTAACCCCAAGTCACCTACCCCAGAACCTTAGCCTACGTCCCACGAGAGAGTGCAGCCTACATCCCGTTTCACATTTTGTTGTCTTCGATTCTATCACCAGCGATATTCCATGTTCTGTATTACACCATCTGACCGATTTTAAAGACCCCCAACATCTAGAACTGGCCCTAACCCCAACTCCCTCCTACATTTCACAGCCTCAGCGTACGTTCCACGGGAGAGCGCAACCTACATCCCGTGGTTTCAGAATTGTTAACATTCTCCGATGCGCCATAAAAAACTGTCTTGCTGATAAAAAGCAATGCTGCTTTCCTTATCGCGCGTCAACGCTGACAGCTGAAGTAATTTTATGCCTACTTGGAGCCCGAGAAAAGCTATAATATACGCAATGTCGCCGGTCGGTCACAGCAACGAGTAAAACAAAACGTTTAGCTCGCTGCTCACACGACGCGCAATGTAGAAAGCTCTTTTCAAAGAGAACACAACTGGCACCCCTGTAACATAGACTAGGACGTCAGAAAGGTCACCAAGCATTAATGAAAAACCAACACGGTTAGTTTCAGGCGAAAAACGTAAAAAATCCAGGTTGTTTTATTTGAGTTAGTTTTGTTTTTTCCACTTCCGTATTATATATTTGTCTTTTTATTGCACCTACAGGGGAAAGGTCTGCTGCAGACATATTTTTTAATAAGCAAAGATGGTTTCCACCCTGGAGATAGCTGTCTGTTTGACGAGCTACGTAGCACACACAGCCTGCAGGACAAACCTAAGCCTTACACTAATGGTGGTAGTAAAAGCATAACCATTTTGCCGGAATCAGAAACGACTTTTTCTGACCATTGCCAAAGGGAATGCCCTAATGTGACTGAATCGGTAGGATCCATGAACGATTCTAAGATGTCTCTTAATAATGTTCTAACAGAAGTAAGTGTGGTCTGAGAAGCCACTTTACTGTACATGATACGATGGCGGTCATCACTGTGTGTATGGTAAACTCATTCAGGCCTAACTGGGGCAATGTGTGTTGACTGAGAAATTCCGATTTGCCAAAAACTGACAATTTTGCAATGATTGCATGTCCGGCACACATTGATTCGCGTATTGCACGTTACTAGTTTTTAATTTTTGGACTATGGGGGTTTAATTGTACATCTTAAGCAATTTAATGTCAAAAGGTTGTGGGTAGTTTATTGAAGAAATTCTTTTAAATGGTCCATTCAATGAGGAATGTCTGTCTGGGTTATTTAATGTGAAAGGTTTTACTGAGTCAATTAATGAAAAATGTTTTACTTAGTCCTTTAAGTCGGTTTCTGTGGCTTAGGCGTAGCGACCGCGCTTTTTAATGCTATGGTACCAGGTTTGATTCCTGCTGCTGATGATTTGTCTTGCGCTGGTTTCGACAGTGGGACCGAGAGCTCACCGTTTAGTCTCAATGGCAAACTACTGAACATAACATTTGCCTAGAAAAACCTTAACAGCTAAGTAATGCTGGGGTTGGTTCTTCAACGTCCTGTAAAAGGATACGCAACTAAACTAGTCGGTTAATGTGAAAAGTCAATATTAGGTCATATAACTGTAAATGCCAGACTGAAGCATATAATGAGAAATGTCTGACTGCGGCATTTTATGTGGAATGTCTCTAACCCAGCCATTCAGTGAACAATGTCTGCTTAAGTCATTACCTGAAACAAAAATACCTGAGTATTATATATTGAAAGTATATGTTTGAGTCATTTAATAAGAATAACCTGCCTGATTCATTTATTTCTGTCAGTACCAGACGAGTGTTACTTGGACACGAGTATTGTTTTAAATATGTCTATCTTACAAAGTTGTTATTTTCACTAATGCATGTTTGAGTCTGAAGTACTTGAGGTTTTTAACAACGGATCATTATCATGACACACGGGTGGAACACATGAGTGCTCCATTCTTCTTCTAATTAGTCTTGAGTTCGAAGAAGCTCATCATAGTGCACAGGCTCTATAGCACCTGAGAGGATCCTGAAATACTTCTGTTAGATTTTTAACTCCAGATTTTGCATGGGCAGCGCCGTTAGGCTACTCTTTTTGATTTCCAACTGCCAAGGGATTTTTTACGCGCGCCACAATGCACACAGGCGTCCGATCTCACTACCCAGAGACCAAGGGGAATTACTAAGAGTCCAAGTTTACGTGGGAAAAAAAAATACCAGCTCTTAGTACATGAACTAATAAAACTTTGAGACGGCACAAGTTAAAACATTAACTGAGACTGTTGATCAGTATAACATCTGGATGGAAAACAAAGAGTTACAAAAGTAAATCAATCCAGATAAAATCAATAAAGACATGACATGTTGCTTTGTTCTGAAATGGTTAAAGAAGAAATCTTGCCATGTTATCATTATTACCATGTATTATGCCGGTAAAAGTATACGGTAATGGTTAAAGAAGAAATCTTGCCATGTTATCATTATTACCATGTATTATGCCGGTAAAAGTATACGGTCTTGTTTCCGTATATCGTACGATCAATAGAGTGTTCTGGTTTTACCCCTGTCGCTTTTTCCAAGACATCCAGGTAATTATCTCCTCGCCTACCTCTTGCTCTCTTTCCATCGAACTTGCCCGTTGTCACATAATGCTTGTCTCTCTTAGTAGCTTTTTAATTGTTTGTATATATATGTATGCGTGTGTATACATACTTATATATGTATAATCTGACTCATCAGTATAATAGGAAATATACGACTTTTATTTCTTCTTCAGCATTCTTAGCGCTTGAGGTTTATTTTGCTTCAGACATCATTCGCTTCCATCCATCTTTGTGATTTGCAGTCTCATTCCAATTGGTGACTTCAAGTGTTTGTGCGTCTGTCTGAATATTATCTCTCCATCGTCTTCTCAGCCTAACTTGTGGTCTACTACCATACAACTCCCCTCTGAACACAGTTTTTGTTATCTCTGTTATCTGCTGTTATCTAAATTTGCACCAGCCATTTCAGTCTATTGGCCTTCGTGACGCCACTGATCAAAGTTTATCTTCACTAATAATTAGTTTATGCAAAAAAAAAAAAAAATAAATAAAGTTGATCGAGTCACATTATGAGAAATATTTGACTCTGTCAATCAAGGAGTTATTTTGTATTACACATGCATTGAGTACACGAATAGTTAATTGCTTGAGAAAATGTTGCAATTATGTCAGGAATTAGTATCCTAATCAAGTCAAGAGAAAATTTTTACGTATTACTTTATAATGTGTCCACAACACCTCATAAAGCGTTTGAGGTTTGCATAAATTTGTTTTAAGGCCATTTATTATGCAAAGGTTTTTCTCATTAGAGTATAAACATAACGACTGAGAAAATTAGGTATACCTTCCCCCCACAATTCAATACCATTTCTGTATTAACAGTATAATGGGGCACTGAGCAAACAGTGTGCTGGAGTCCCTATAACAACCACACAAAGGAATCAAATGTGAATGGTCACTTGACATACACAGATTAACATGAGACTGTTATGCTCATAGGCTTACCGGGAAAGCACACTAAGGGCTCATGTGAGAAAACAGCAATGGTACTGCATACATAAATACTTCAAAATATAAACGATAATAAACCAGAAAAAAAAATTGTGTTTATCAAAATTAGACAAAACTCAAACTGAGATAGAAAAAAATTTCTACTTTACCTTTACTTTTTTTTATATTAGAAAAGTGTTCTCCTAATTTTTTTTTTAATGCAAAGATTTTGAGTTGATCCTCAAACTAATCTGGTGTAACACACCTTGTTCTATACTTGATAGAGATAAGACATCCACACCTAGCCTACCTTGTTGGTCTGGGGGATGATGTAATATTCTTCAACCGGGAAAATAAACGCTCAGCTCCAAGGCTATGGAAACCGAATGTGTGCCCCTCCCTTTATGATACTCTGAGCACGTACTTACTGTGCTTAAGGTTAATCCGGCCCTGTTTATGTTACTTGAATACAGTA